CCCCCCCACCACCCATCTCAGTCTGCTGAATCATCCTCAATTCTTTATTCCAACTGACTTCTAATGACGGCATTAGGGGAGGTGGCAGAAACATTTCAAAGCTGAGAAGGGAGCAAATTCCTGCAGCCGGTTTCCACTTTGGAACTGAAGAGCTGTGTTCTGCTGCACACCATCGTGTTAGCAGGAACAGAGCCACAGTCACTCAAGCTTCCCTGCAGGAARATGAAACCGTGTTTTGGTTGAAAGTAAAAAAGAGAAAATCTATGGTTGGTAAATGTCAGCAGTGCGGCTCAGAGCTTCTGGGCAAAACACRAAAAGGAGAACAGAGAGCTTGAGATCTGGAAGCAGTTTTATAAAACTTTCTCAGTTTCTGTTTTCTTTTAGCATCCACCAGCATCTTTTGTTGTGTTTGATGCTTCTTGTTTTCATCCTCATTGTTTGTTTACTGTGTTACTTTTGCTGAGTTTTCACAATTAACACAAGGCAAAATGTGTTTCTGTGTCTGTTAGCAAAATATCTCAAGAACCACTGGATAAAATGTATTGAAACTTGCAGAAAGTAATCAGTGGATATGCATCWAACACTGAATAATATTTGGTGTCAATCTGATTTAAAATGACAGCCACAGCCAACAAAACCTAAAAAAAAACACAAAATTAATATGACCTGGTTAATTTTACAAATATTGCTCTAAGATTTGGGGTGGTAGTAGCTGAAACTGATMTTCAGCATATGAGTGTTAACAGATATCTTTATCAGATTTTTTTATTTTGCCTATTATACAACTAAAAAAGTTAACTTTGTTACCAAAATATCTCATGAACCGTTAGATTGATCACATATAACTTTCTGGAAAGGATCATTAGATGCATCATAACAACTGATTAACTTTTAAAGCTAACCCAATTTAAAATGGCCACCACATCCAACCGAACTTATGAAACACAAAAATGGCTTTAATTTAGTAATTTTTTCAGATGAGCTAAACTTCGATGTGGTTGGAGATGGAATTAATTCATAACACATACTCCAAACGTTACACATTGGGCAAGAAATTAGCCTAAAACATCAGCAACAACTGTTGGAACCAACCCTGTTTGTCTTCTAGCAAAATTTCTCATGAAGCACCAGAAAGATTTTGATCAAGCTTTCAAACTACTATCTGAGAACTAATTATCAACTATACCGCTTATTAACTTTTAAAGTTAATATCAAAGTCACTGCCACAGCTAATAATGTATTAGCCAACACAAAAATGCCATTAGCTTAAATTTTAGGTGGTGGTTTCTGAGAGTTATTCACAACACTTAGGGTATTCTGAGCATGATCTCTCAATTGCATGGTATATTTGACCAAAATGGCTCCAATATATATATATATATTAGTTTAAAACTCTGGCATGAAAGCAGCAGGCAACATATATTCTTTCAGTGATTTTTGAAATCTTATAAATATTTTTTCTTGTAAAATTTGACTCATCTTTGAAAAGATGAGGAGGAGGCAGTGGAGGCATACGCTAAGCAGAGAGAGGAATCTGCTGACTTCTTCTGCCAAGGAGATTATTTACTTTCTGCCTGATAGTGATATAATGTGGTGAGCAGCTAAATATGAGCTGCACTGTGTCTGTAAGTCAGCTCCGTACCTTGCCGCAGGTGTCAATCATCCAACAGGCAGGAAACTAAACCATCATTTGTCTTTGCTTCTCAGATGAATTTGTGTTTGTGTTAGTTAGCAGAGAGTCCACCAGCGCCCAAAATAAATGCCATTTTATTCCTTGGCAGGAAGAGGGGGGAGAAAAAGAAAAGAAAAGATAGAAAAGGATGGTCGTCATGGCAACGTCAAATCACTCGCACAATGAAGTGTGGTAGCCCTGAGAAAAAGGGTGGGGTTGCAGGAGTGATTGTGATAGCTAATGATCTATTGATCCCCGATTTCTCTCTCTCTCTCTCTCTCTCTCTCTCTC